GCTGCTTGCTTGTCTTGCCACACCAAACTTCAAACGTATCCCGGGGATGGGGGTGTCCATTCCAGGCGGCTTCAGTCGCCCTGCTGTGAAAATGCGAATGTCTGCAGATAGCTGGCAGCCAGAAGGGTCTATCCTGGAAAGCTGTACTCAGCCTCATCTGCCCATGGCAGAATCACAGAATCACAGAATCACAGAATCACAGAATAGTAGGGGTTGGAAGGGACCTCTGTGGGTCATCTAGTCCAACCCCCCTGCCGAAGCAGGGTCACCTACAGCAGACTGCACAAGACTTTGTCCAGGCGGGTCTTGAATATCTCCAGAGAAGGAGATTCCACAACCTCCCTGGGCAGCCTGTTCTGCTGCTCCGTCACCCTCAGAGGGAGGAAGTTCTTTCTCATGTTCAGAAGGAACTTCCTGTGTCTCAGTTTGTGCCCATTGCCCCTTGTCCTGTCACTGGGCACCACTGAAAAGAGCTTGGCCCCATCCTCCTGACACCCACCCTTCAGATATTTGTAGGCATTTATAAGGTCCCCTCACAGCCTTCTCTTCTTCAGGCTGAACAAGCCCAGCTCCCTCAACCTCTCCTCGTAGTGGAGATGCTCCAGTCCCCTCACCATCCTTGTAGGGAAGGACCTTGTCGGCGAGGATGGAGGACACAATGTCCTCCCAGGTGGACGCAGCCTCCTGGGGGAGGCAGAGCAAAGCAGTCATGGTTTGGCACAAGTCATGCTGACCACGCACACCCCAGAGGAGACCCGTCCACTCGTTCCACACTCCGGGTGTTTGGCATCACGCTAACACCATGAATGCTTTTTCCACCTTGCTGCTTCAGTTTCCAAGAAAAAGGGAAAAGGCATCTGGCCAGAAGCCAGCTTCGCAGGGCTGAAACATCTCTCTTAACCTTCAAAAGGCAAACCCCAAGGGGAATTCATACCTGCTTCTCCGCTCTGCGCCTCTCAGCTGAGCAAACCCTCTTCAAACACGCAGCTGGCGGCAAGCACGCAGCCGGCGGGGGGTCACGCCGGAAGAACGGAGCGAGCAGAGCCGTATTTCAGCTCCTGAAATTCCTCTTGCCTTGCTTTAAAATAACTGTTCTGGTAGGGTTTAAGTAGGAATCCCTCACAGAGGTCAGCCCAGTGAACGGGCAGCTCGGAGCCTTCGCAAACAGGGACAGCACCGAGAGTTCTCTGCTCCACGGGAGCCACGGTGCCCAGCAGCGGCCAAGACAGCAATAAGCTCCACGGCACCGGCGACACGCAGAGCTCCTGCCACCCGCGGCATCTTTCAGCAAGGTACTCACAGGGTTTCCCCTCTGACCACTCAGAGGCATTTAAAAAACGTGTAAATGTGGCACAGAATCACAGAATCACAGAATGTTTGGGGTTGGCAGGGACCTCTGTGGGTCACCCAGCCCAACCCACTGCCCAAGCAGGGTCACCCACAGTTTGTGCCCGTTGCCCCTTGTCCTGTCACTGGGCACCACTGGAAAGAGTCTGGCCCCGTCCTCCTGACCCCCACCCTGCAGATATTTAGAGGCATTTCGAAGGTCCCCTCTCAGCCTTCTCTTCTCCAGGCTGAACAAGCCCAGCTCCCTCAGCCTCTCCTCAGAGGAGAGATGCTCCAGTCCCCTCAAGGATATGGTACTTCAGGATATGGTTTAGTAGGAATGGTGGTGTTGGGTGGATGGTTGGACTGGATGATCTTAGAGGTCTTTTCCAACCTATGATTCTACGATTCACTCACTGGATTTTTCACGAGCTGCAGGTACAAATCAGCCTGCAAAGCTTCTGCCCTGCAAAACCTTGGCAAAAGCATCCCGGGGGGGCCCCCGAAGCCGCTGGCGGAGCAGGCGGGTCCCAGCAGCAGCGAGCACTCACCTTTCGGCCTCCTCCACTTGCTGCAAGTTGAAGAGCAGCGAGGGCACGATTTTGTCCATGTGCTGTGGGTCCCAGATGTTGGCTTGGAGCTCGTCGTTCACCGTCTTCCTCACCACCCCTTGCAGGCCTTTAATGCCGGACATCCGGATCCTGAGGAGCAAATTGATATCAAAATGCTACATATCCATACAGCATACGTGATTTTACATTTATATACACATATATAGACACACAGGTGAAACTGTGCAAGAGGTTGCAGAGAAGGCACTGATTTCTACGCCGCTGCAAGGTTTCATGCAGGTGATGCTGGATGTTAGGGAAACGTAGGTGCTTTGACACCTGCGCCCGCGCTGGGTCCAAAAATCCTGACTCTGCTCTCATGAATAGAAATTTGACGATATTTCTATTTTTTGATAGAATACTATTCTCTATTTTTATTTTTTTTTTGCCTGCCAGCTATCTGCAGACGTTCGCACTTTCGGAGCATCCCCAGGTCTGAAATCAGCCCCTCAACACCCACTGCTAATGCCCAAGAAAGACAGCACATGCTTATCTGCAGAAATAAATGTATTAAATAATCTACTCCGAGGTCTCTGTAACTTTGTGGATCTCACCAAGGCAATAATCTGTCTCAGACACAGCTCTTGAGGAAGGAGCTCTGAGCAGGACCAAGGGCCCAAGCAAGCCGTGTGCTCCTTTTTAATTACAGGAGCTGCAGAATTGCTCTTTTCCAGTTTCCAACGCAATTTAGCCAGCGTCACCGGTGCCCTGAAGGTCAAGTGGAAATAATGAGCCTTCTGCATTATTTCCTCACTACGGAAAAAAGAAACCTGTGAGTCTGCAGCGGTAAAAGGAGGCAAGCCCGGTCCTCAGAGACATCCTCCACG